TGCCCGGGCGGGGCGCGTTTGAGCAGCGCGCGGAGTGGCGGGAGCGGGAGCGCAAGCTGGTGTGGTCCATCAAGAACCTCAAGGGCGGGCGGGAGCACACGCTGCGCTGCAGGCTCACAGGTGCGGCCGCCCGCGGGGCCCTGGGTGGGCGTGTGGCAGCCAAGGGGCCGCCGGGGCGCGATGCCTGGCACGCGGTGTGCGTTCCCCTCCATGGCCTGAGCGGTTGCTGAGCCCTGCGGGTGGCCTGGTCCCACTGGTGGTCCCGCTGGTGGTCCTGCAGTGGACCCAGGCACCGTGGAGTCCACCAAGCGAGACTACGGCCCCATCATGGTCCAGTTTGTGCTGCCCGGCAAGCCCTCAGGTGCGCCCCCGCCAGCTCAGCAGCTGGGCAATGGCTGCATGCAGTGCCGGTTGAGCAGCAGCACAGCAGCAGAACGGCCGTGAGCCTCCACCCGGCCCGCTTGCTGCATGCGACGTGGCCCGCTCTGCGTGATAGCGCTTGCCCCTGACCCTCTTCGCCGCCCGCCTGCCCTCTGTACTGCAGCCAGCGGGCTGGATGTGCGGTACATGAAGGTACGATGGGGCTCCCCCTCGCTGCGCTCTCCCCTCCGCTGCCCTCCTGTGCTCCTGCTCCTCGCTGCATGGCCCTGTGCTGTGCCCGCTGGCCCCTCGCTGCCAGGCCTGTGAATGCTCCTGCCCCTCGCTGCACCCAAACCCAACCGTGCCTCCTCCTCTCCCTGGCCTTGGGTGTCGTGCTGTGCGTGCTGTGCGTGCTGTGCGTGTGCAGATCCTCAAGGAGGAGAAGAACTATGCGCCCTCCCGCTGGTTCCGTGTGGTGGCTATGGCTAACTCATACCAGATCCGCCCGCACTGATGGGGCGCCTGCGGGGGCCCTTGGAGGCGCCCGAGGCGCTTGCGGCAGCGCTGCAGCGGCGGCAGCGCTGTGGCGGCGGCAGCCGGCACGGCCCCCCTCGCCAGAGCGCAGGCCGCGCATCCCGCGGCGGTGCAGCCGGCAGGGGCGGGCTCGAGCCATCGGTTCCGGGCGCCTTGCTGCTCCACTCCCCTTTGCTCTTCTTGTCATGCTCGCTGATTGCCTGCTCCCTCTCTGTTTGCTGCGCTGGCGCCACACCCACCCCTGCTCTTCGCCCTGCACATGCCCTACCGCGTAGTTACACCTGTTGTGCAAGAACTCATGCAGTACCACAGTTGGTGTACCACAGTTGGTGTACCACAGTTGGTGAGAGGTCGACAGGAAGGCGGCCTGGTTGGCCAATCATCCGCCGCCCCTGGCAGGCGGGTCCCCGACCCGGCCCTTCTTCTTGCCGCCACAAAACACCTGCGGCGCGGGAATTGCAAGCGGCGTGCCCCTGTCAGCATGCCAGGCAGGATGCCCCAAGAGAGGCCCTGCGCCCGCTACACCTGAGTTCCCCCCCAAAGGCTTCCGTTGCATGAGCAGGGGGCACCGACCTTGAGCAGGCGCTTGAAGCGGCGGGCGTCGTGCAGGCAGGGCTCAGCCAGCAGCTCACGCAGCGCCGCCGCCTGCGCCTCGGCCTTCCACCGCCGCCAGGGCGCCTCGCCCCCGCCTGCCAGCTGCAGCGCCGCCTCGCGCAGCCAGGCGTCAAACCTGCGTGGCGGGAGTGGCGGGGCAGGCGGGCAGAACAGGAGTTGTGGTCTCCCACAACTCCGCGTCGCCAGCTCACCAGAGGCTGCAGCAGCAGCGAAGCGCTCCTTCACAGGCCGCCCCCAACCCGCACACACAACAGCACCACAGCTCCTACCTGTCGGTGCCCACCGCCTGCCATGTGCGGTGCAAGACTTCTGCCACAGGCGCCATCATATACGCCGGCATGGTGCCAGAGGCCGCCAACAGCAGGCCCAGCACCAGCTGGCTGCCCAGGCCCGCGTCCAAACACCGGCGCAGGTGCTGGTGGGCCGCCGCCGCAGCGGCAGCAGCAGCAGCAGGCGGCTGGGTGGCATGCGGTGGGGAGGGCGCGGCGGAGGCGCCGTCGGCGCGGCTGTGCCGGGGAGGGCAGCCCACGCAGCACAGGGCCTCAGCAAACTGGACCGCCCGCTCGCAAGCCTCCCGATGGAAGGAGCGCATGCTGTGCTGCGCCGTGCACAGCAGCGCGTCCAGCGTGGCGCCATCCGCCGCCACGGCTGGCAGCCAGCGCACGCAGCTCTCTCCCAGCGCCAAGATGGCGGGCTGCCAGTCGGGGTCGCTGCCGTGCTCAACCGCTGCCGCCTGGAGGCTGGAGCGCGCCGCCGCCTGCAGCTGCTGCGAGGGCCCGCTGCCACTGCTACTGCTGCCGCCGCCCAGGCGGCTGGATGCAAGCTGGGCAAGCGTCTGCAAGACGCAGGGGTGCTGCGGGGCGGCGACAAGCGGGTGCAAGAGGTCCAGCCCCGTGCCGGCAGCGGGCGTGGGCGCCACGGCCGCTGCCAGATGGTGCAGCAGGTGCTGCTGCGGCTGCCGCGGCTGGCCCCTGCCGGGGTCGGGCACCTGCTGAGCCGCGCAGCCCGCTGCTGCCACCCTCCTCAGCACTCTCTCAATGCTGGTCAGAAGGACAGGCAGATACTGCAGCCCCGCGGCCCCGCCTCGGTCCCCCTGAGCGGCACTACTGCAAGAGTTAGCTACCGCCTCTATCGCCACCGCAATCGACTCCACCTGCAGCGCCGCCTGCTCCAGCTGGCGCTGGTGCTGCGCGCCGCCAGGTGGCGCCGCAGCCGCCGCGTCGAGCGCCGCATCCGCTGCCGCAGCCATCTGGCCCAGCAGCTGCCTCAGCAGCGCGGCGCACTGCTGCGAGTGCGGCGCACCCCCTGCCTCGCCTGCCGCTGCTGCCGACAGGCGGCAGATGGTCACCAGAAGGAACTGAGCCGTGGACAGGTCTTCGCCTTCTTGCGGCCGCTGGTGCATGCCCCCCGCAGCCGCAAAGCAGCCGCACAGCGCCTCGCCCCAGCCGGGGTGCTGCGCCGCCAGCGCCGCCGCCAGCTGGCGGCTGCCGGTCAGGCGGTAGCAGCAAGTGGCGGCATTGCGGCTCAGCTTCTCGTCGCTGGGAAGCTGCACCAGCTGGAGCAGCACCTCCAGCAAGCGAGCCAGCAGCCCGCTGCCCTGCTGCCTCCCATTCGGCCCCTTCACCACCGCCTCCCGCTGCACCAAGGCCGGCAGCTGCTCCGCCATGCCGCCCAGCAGAGTGAGCGCCGTGCCAGCCAGCTTGGGCGTGGCGGGGCGCAGCGCTGCTGCCACCGCCGCGGCAGCCTGCCGCACCTCCTCTGCCGCCTCGTGCGCCTCCGGGCTGCGCTGCCTGCCCCAGATGAGGTTCGCAGCGTAGAGGCAGCACTCCTGCTGCAGCGGGGCGCCCGCCACCGCCGCCTCGCCCGCCAGCTGCAGCAGCTGCTGCCGCGTCTGACGCGGGCCCAGGCAGTCTGCCGCCGCTCGAAACGTGTCGCCAACCTCACGCCGCACCTGCAGCTCGAGGCGGCCGCGGGGCGGGAGGCACGCACGGGGCGAGCAGAAGCTTTGTTCACCAGGCACAAGCTGAGGTGCCAGGGGCGAGGATGCGGGCCAGGCATTGCAGCTGCTGGCAGGCCCAGGCAGCTTCCCGCACACCCTCGGAGGATCCAGCGCGGCGGCGGCTGTGCTCACCTTCTGCACACCGTCAGGCAGGTCGCGGGCATCTGCGGTGCACACCGCGGCAGGCAGGTCCGCAGGCAGCGCCATGCGCTGCAGCAGGGCGCCGCAGAGCTGAGCCAGCAGCGCCGAGCGCTGCTGCAGGGTGCAGGCGCCTGCGGCTGCCCCGCTGTGGGCTGCTCCAGAGGCAGCGGCGCCGCTCCCTTTCCACCTCTCCAGCTGCTCGTCCCACAGCTGCAGAGCCGCCAAAGTGACCTCCAGCTGAGGGTGCTGCAGGGATGCCAGGGCCACCTCTGCCGCCAGGTGCACAGCCTCGGCTGCCGCTGCCGCTGCCGGGGCGGGCAACGTGCCGGCCTGGCTGTCCGCAGCCCTGGCCGCTGCACCCAGGACCGTCAGCGCGGCAAAGAGCAGGCGCGCCTGCTGGTGCGGCTGCTGGGCCTGCGCCAGCGCCTGCTGCAGCTCCGCCGCCCAGCCTGGCAGCAGGCTGAGCAGCACGCCGAGCAGCTGGTGCCGGCGCCGGGCCAGCTGTGGGCTGTCGCTCGCGGCGCCGCTGTAGCCTGCCTGGCAGGCGGCATACAGGGCAGCCAGCGCCTCTGCTGCTGGGCCGCCCATCTCCGGGTGGAGCGCCGCTGCGTGCAGCTGCTGCCACAGGGCCGTGCTGTCCTCTGCCCCGGCGGGGGGCTGACCCAGGGCGCACCAAGCTTGCAGCAGCTGCAAGGCAGCAACCTGGACAGCGGGCGTGCTGCCAGGTGCCAGTGCCTGCTTCACAGTATCCAATGGCTGCGAGGCGGCAGCCAGGGCGGCCGTCAGCGCCGCCCTGCGCTGCGGGTGCATGCCGACGTCTTTGCTGCAAGCCGCCTCCGCGAGCGCCGACAGCAGGCGCAGCAGCGCCAGCTGCTGCCACTCACCGCCGCCGCTGCCGCTGCCCTGCAGCGCTCCCTGGGCCAGCGCCATCAGCTGCGGCAGCACTTCGGCCTCCGGCCAGGCGGGCGCCCGCACCGCCACCGTGGCCAGCGCTGCCGCCAGCTGATTGCGGGTGTGCCAGCAGCCCGCGGCGGCGGCGGCCGCCAGCTGCTGCACCAACAGTGGCGCCAGCGAGGCCAGGGCTGCGGGTTGCACCACGCCCGGCTGCCGCTGGCAGCAGTGCCGCAAGGAGGTTGCCGCGAAGAAGCGTGCAGATACGTGCTGGGCGCCGGCAGGGTCAGCCAGCAGCTCGGCCAGCAGCTGCCACGCGCCGTCCTGGGCGCTGAAGCCGCGCAGCCACAGGTCGGCGGCGTGGCGCTCCTCGCTGCAACACAGGCATCCAAGGGGGCGACAGCTGGTAAGCTAGTGCAGGGACGCGTGTCCGTGGGCCGTGGGAGCGGAAATAGGCAGCGGCGGCAGGGGAGGCAGCGGGCCGGCGCAGCGCAGCCCGTGATGGCATCGCGGTTGGCATAAAACCTGTCGGTGGAACAGTACAGGGCTTGGAGGGCCGAACGGAGCTCCACGGCGCCCTGCATGGCGGCGCCTCCCCCAGCCTCCCCAGGGCCTCCAACAAGACCTAATACCGAGTAACAGCCAACAGGACGGCTCCGAAGGGTGTCAAGGGGGCTCCAGTGAGCGAATTCATCGGTAGAAAATTGCCACGTCAAGGCACCCAGAAATCCCTCCTGGCCCGCTTTCATCGCTTTATGAAAACCCGCCTCGCCTCTACATACCCTTGCAAAGGTCTGAAACCCCTGCCGGCGTCCGAAACAACAGCTCGGCCGGGGACTTGCTGCTCCTCAGGCCTCTGCTCGCGGCCCAAAGCGTCCTGTAGGCAGCCCCAAATCCTGGGACAGCAGTAGCAGGGGTTCCGCCCCGTGCAATGGTGCGGGCAGACAGGCGAAGGGAGGATGGCGGCGCGGGCCCCTCGCACGCAGTGGTGAGTGGTCAGGCTTGGTCCCCGCCTGCACAGATCGCGGCTTCAGGCGTCCCGACCGCCGGGGTTTCTGGGCAACCCTCGCCGCGCTGCTGCCTTCCTGCAGGAGTATGAGGTGGGGGCCAGGGTGTCCTGCAAGGCCACCTTCGACAACCAGTACCGTGAGTGGGCTCCGCTGCCGGCGCCCGCCGCCATCACACCGCCTCGCCGTCGTCCACCGCTGAGCACCTGCCTTCCTGCCTGCAGACGCGGTGGACGTGATCGACCGCAAGCAGGACGGCAAGAGCGGCAAGTGGCGCTACTATGTGCACTACCTAGAGTGTGAGCGGCGCCGCGGTTTGAGCTAATCAGCGATGATGGGGCTGCTGCCTTCGCCCCGTTATTGCTGGCTTGCTGCTGCGCCGCGTGGCCCCCGTCCTGCCCTGCTGCTTGCGCTGCACACCTGCTGCCTCCCACCCTTGCCCGCGGCCCGACCCCGCTGCACGCCCCGCCCTCCCGGCGCCCGCCGCCGCAGTCGACAAGCGGCTGGACGAGTGGGCGGGGCAGGAGCGGGTGGCGTCGATCGCGAGGGTGGCCTCCGCAGACGCGCTGCACCGCGTGGCCAGCGGTGGCGGCAGCGGCGACCTGGGGCCGCTGGCAGGGGACCAGAAGATGACGCGGCGGCTGAAGCGGCAGTACACTGAGATACACCACGTGCCCGCCGCCCTCGAGGAGCTGCCCCCCATCGACCAGGTGCCCGCCTGCAGCGCTGCTGCCAGCCCACTGCTGCACGGCTGGCGCTGCTGCCAGCCCACTGCTGCACGGCTGGCGCTGCTGCCTTCCCGGGATCTGCTGGCTGCCGGCTGTGTGGGGGCTGTGCCAGTTGCGGTGGTGGAGTGGCTGTTGCCGCTGCCACAGCTGGCGCTGCCTGACCTATGTGCCCAACCGGGCTCCCCCTCCCTCTCCTGATGTCCTCTGCCTCCTCCTCGCCCCCTGCCTCTCACCATCCTTACCATCACATCCCTCCCTCCCTGCCCCCTCCCCGCCCCCACCCTTGCAGCACCTTGAGAAGGAGCACCAGGAGAAGACCAAGGTGAAGAACATCCAGAGCGTGGAGCTGGGCAGGCACGAGGTGGACACCTGGTACTACTCACCCTACCCTGAGCCCCACGCCTCCTGCAACAAGCTGTACCTGTGCGAGTACACGCTCAAGGTGGGGTGGTACAAAATGGCATGGTACCGCATGGTATGACGCGATGGGGTGCGGTACTGCAGCCTCGGCAGGCAGGTGGAGCGGAGCAGAGTCCAGGACTGCCACCAGCATTGGGCAGCTCGGCGTTGCCCAGCTCGGCGTTGCAGGTGGCGAGGCGGCTGCGCCTGCCGAGGCGGCTGCGCACAGCTGCGGGCCTTGCTGACTGCCGCCTTGGCGGTCCTGGCGCCCCTGGCCCGCCCGCAGTACTTCCGCAAGAAGAAGACGCTGCTGCGGCACCTGGCCAAGTGCACGCTGCGGCACCCGCCTGGGGATGAGATCTACCGCTCGCCGCCGCCGCCATCCAACGACCCGTCGTACGTGGGAGGGGCGGTCACCAACCCGCCCATCAGGTGCGAGGCGCGGGGTGAGGCACGGTGTGTGGCGCGGGCTGGCGGCGGGGCAGGGCTGGACCCTTGCTACCTGGCCGGCTGCTGGGGAGGCCATGCTGCTTGAAAGCGCAGCCCCTCGGCTGCCGTCCGAGGGCAAGCTGCGCTCGTCGTGCGCTCGCCGTTCCTCTCCTGCTGCTGCCCCTCCACGTCCTGGCACCCCTTCCCTCCTCCACACCCGCCCACTCTCATTTTTTGTCCCCCATCTTCCCACCTGCACCTACCACATGCGCCACCCCTGCCACCCCTGCCACCCCTTGCCCCCACCCCCGCCCCGCAGCATGTTTGAGGTGGACGGCAAGAAGAGCAAGGTGTACTGCCAGAACCTGTGCCTGCTGTCCAAGCTGTTCCTCGACCACAAGACCCTCTACTACGACGTCGACCCCTTCCTGTTCTACGTGCTCTGCGAGAAGGACGCCCTGGGGTGCGCGCGCGGCGGGCAGCCGGGTGGCGGGCGGGGGTGGGGACAGGGGTGGCAGGGGTGGCTGGG